GTTACTTTCATGGGGGGTATATTGCCATAGTTGCCACGCTTGGCGAGCGGGTTGGAAACCGCAGTTTTTTTATTGTTGTTTTGCTGTTATCAGAAAGATGCTGCTGCCCATCTTCTGTCTCAGGTTCAATCTGTCGCCTTTTAAGACACACACAGGAAGATATGGGGTAGTGAGTATTCTTACCCGCCACTACACGGGGGGACTTTGGACTCGTACAGTTATACTATTGCTAGTATGGAGTATTATGAAACTATCCTATAAATTATTTTACATATTTCTTTTAAAACGTCTTCATAATACATTGATGCGTCACATTGCGTAGTTTATTTTTGAGATTTTGACAGCGGCTTGAGCCAGCAGAAGATAGTCGACGATGACAATATCTCAAGGCGACTTTTTGATCCTAGGTAAATCTTTATAAATACCTTTTTTATACGTGGTAGAGCCATGCTGCAGCTATATCTCTGGTATAGTTGTAACACGAATGGGTCGGCTCGACCGGGGAAGGACCACGCTCTCACAGAATATGAGCGTAAAATAGCAGCTTAATGCTGCTGTGTTTCGTATGGTGAGTGTAGAGAACCGGAGACCCTTTTTATTAGAAACGAGGCATTCCATCTTAGTCCTCACGGGTGACAACGCATCTGCATTTTGATTCCTTATCGAGGATAAATGTAGATGTCTATGGGCCACAGCAACCACTTACCATCAGGTGGACTGTGTGCTCGGTTGTCACCCTTATCCTAAAAAAAAAAGATTAGATATGCTGAACTATATTGCTAGGCGTTTGAGGATCCCACCCGGAGCGCCCGCAATCCGTTTCCGTCCCGTTTTCGCAACAGAGACTTTTTTAATAGAAAATTAAAAAAATATCACTTGTTTATTTGTTTACTTTAAAATTATTCGGCAAAATGTTTTTTTTTATAGGATAAGGGTGACGAGCACACAGTCCACCTGATGGTAAGTGGTTACTGCGGCCCATAGACATCTACATGTATCCTCGTTTGCGAATCAAAATGCAGATGCGTTGTCACCCGTGAGGACTAAGATGGAATGCCTCATTTCCAGTAAAAAGGGCCTCCAGCCACCTGCACTCACCAAACGAAACGCAGAGGTAAACCTCTACTTCATGCTGGTATTCTGTGAGGTCGTGGTACCACCCCGGTTCGAGCCGGCCCATCCGTGCGATAGCAAAAGCTGCCGCGTGGCTCTACCACCGTTAAAATGTGAAAAGTATGCACGTTAGAAGTATATATATAATGAAGTTAAAAGGAAAACTATCACAGCTAAGTAAGTATGCTTAACAAGTTAATGAGTGATAGTCGACCAACTTATAAAATTCACTTGGATTAGAAAAAAATTCGTGACAGTTCCATAGAAAATGACCTAAAACTAGCTGCATTATAACATTGTGATGTTACTGTAAACCGTCAAAAGACTACTATAGCTTTATGTTTTCCTTTGTGGGGTAAGCAGAAAAGATCGAACGCCAAGACACCGATCCTGACATACCTACCACTTTCGTTTAATTTTTATTTAGTAGTTATTGTAGGCCTTCAGTTTCATTCAAGGTACTCTTAGTTTACGCGGGTGACCGTCAGTTATACAGACTGACTATTTATATATTTTATATTTCTAACACCACGTTTCCATACAATGTTTTCCGTAGGGCCATTGAGGATCCTTATTGCATATAGATTGCACACTTAATAATACTTTTAAAAATTAAATTTAAAATTTTTTCTTCGACTAAATTATAAACTATATAGTTTATTTTTAATTTCAAGAAACTTGAATTAGTGTAAAACCGCGAATTCCCTAAAGCAAAAGAAATAATCAAACGATAGGTAATCGGAGATTATTAGGTAGGTAATGCTGATTTAAATAAAATTTATTCTTGATAAGGTGTATTAAAAACAATTACAATCCTTGATTAGGAAAATCATGATGACACTAGGTTTCCTTTAATATATTTACTCAGCCCAACCAAATGAGAATACTACATAAATACCCCATATAATATATATATATATATATAATTTATAATTATAATTATAATCAAAAACAGAAAACATTGGCCTCATGTTTCTATCAGTGATAAAAACCTATAGGCACCTAATAAAAAAGTGTCCTAGAAGAGACACTTCGTTGAGAAGCTATTTGTTTATACGAATAGGATAGAAATACACACAAAATACAAAAAAAAAGTCCTGTTACACTGTTCATAGAGATTTATTCGAAACTGTGGTAAATTAAACAAAAAAAAAATGACTTTCAATAAGTATTATTTATAATCGAATATGTAAATAGTTTCTATTTTTATTTCACACTTTCGATTCAAAATACGACTGTGGACATCGGAAAATTTACAAGAATATATCTACCGATAGGCGCCATGATGTGCCATTAAAATACAACACAAAAAACCAGTGTCGCGGACTTAAACACTTTCAAAATTAAGAAAAATGCCCTGTTATACCGCCGTTATTACGCATCTATAAAACAAATTTAACAAACATAAAAAATAAAGTAAAAACAGACCCTTACAGGCACAACCCGACGAGCAATTGGTATTTAAAAACCTATTCTTCAAATTTCTTGTAGCCCGATTACTCTCAAATTCTTCAAGGAGTTTGTGAGGTAACCTGTCTCTGAGGAATAAAAATATTTCGAAGTCATGTAAAGTCCGTTAACGCACAGGAACAGCGCGGTGAACCGCGCCGTTCGCCGCAAACGCCGCAAAGGGGTGAACCTAAATTTTTCAAAAAATTACAGGAGAGCAAGAAAACATTTATTATTGCTTTCATCAAAAAGTTAATCTTATTAGTAGTTCTCCATTAAGTCTAATATATTTAATTTTCTGATGGATAAAAGCTAGTAATCAGGGAATAATAAATGTTTTCTTGTACTCTTGTAATTTTATGAAAAATTAAGGTCCGCACCTTTGCGGCGTCAACGACGAATTATTCCGTAACTCTTTAGAACTAAGAGTTTAGAAATAATGTTACTCTGTTAATATTACTGTTGCTTTGTGTCATAAATTACTTAAGCCTTAATGGCTGAACAGATTTGGACGTGTGAGGATGAGGAGTCGTTTGCTTCATTCTAAAAACAAATACATATACTAATCACTACGTTTAGTTGGTTTTGTTTCTTAATGTAAATTAATAAATAATTTGTTTCTTAATGTAATTTCTAATTCTTTTGTTTCTTTCATCAGATTCAAGTGTTTTAAGCCATATTTTATGGCAATAGAACCAACATGATCATTTAATTACCACTAAGTTTCGGATATTATTCTGAAGAGTTTGTCATTTTATTAATTACTAGCTGTGCTCCGCGACTTCGCCCGCGTGTAATTTAAGTTTTTAATTATATTGCGCGGAACCTCAATTCTTTTTCTAAAATAAAAGTAGCCTAAGTTACTCCTTATAACAGTAGCTATCTGCCAGTGAAAGTCCCGTCAAAATCGGTGGAGCCGTTTCGGAGATTAGCCGGAACAAACAGACAGAAAGACAGACAATTTTTGTTATATGTACCATATATACTTTCATATGCATTTAGTAAAAAGCTGTTATTTTGAGATTACAAACAGACACTTCAATTTTATTTATTTGTATAGATTAACAATAGAACACTATTTTGACTTTGTAGTGGCGATGTAAGATTATCTACTACCCCATATCGTACCGTGTCAGAAGAGTTGACAGAGGGAAACAAACCAGGAGATGGCCAGCGGCGTCTTCCTAATGGCCAATAAAAAAACGGCGGTTGCCTAATATCCCTCCAATGAAGCAAACTATGGGGTTGGCCTATGTTCAGCAGTGGACTTTTGAAAAACGGTAATAGAACATTGTAATCAGCTTCCTTGTATTTTTAATAATATTTTTTTTTCTAACGTTTGACATCCACTGCCAGATATGATTTAGCATTTTAAACAAGTGGGATGCGGTAAGTAAAGACTGTAAGAACCTCCGAAGGAGGCGGAGTAATAGCCGAAATAAGAATTTAATTTTTTCTGGGTTTTGGCCATTTTGAAGTGTAATGAGAACTTTTTGCCTCTATTCTACCATGACCCCCATGACATCCTCTACATGATACGCTATTCAAACTGACTATGCGTAAAGTTCGAGCCACCCCCCCCCCCAGTTTTTGGTCCATTTGACCCCCTAGGAGTGTAGTGAGAACTTTTTGCATGACCCTCATGACATCCTCTACATGATAGGCTATTAAAACTCACTAGGCCTAAAGTTCGAGTCACCCCCCAACTAATTTCTAGTCTTTACTTCCAAATACGCATTTATCCAATTCATCATTAGTCCAATTCTCAACAAACTGGTTAGCAAAAAAAACAAACTCTCTCACTCTTTAATGTTGATCTTCATCACCCATTTGCAGCATCCGTAAACGGGATTTTGTTATTTAAACCGCGCTAAATGTCGGCCGCAGCAGCCAAGTACGAAAAAGCTGTTAGTCTTTTTCGTACTTGACACAATTTAACTTTCTTTACCTTTCATTGAAAAGTCTCAAGTCTTTTGCTTATGAAAAGCTATTTAGCATATCAATCAGCTGTCACTGAAGACTTACCTATATGATGTCCGTGATTAAACGTAGTGATTATAAATATATTCTTTGTCTGTGACCGAGAGGAACACAAAGACCAATTTTATACTAGGAGTTACTGTTAACATTACTATGAGTGGGTACGAACGCCCCCCCCCCCCCCTCCAAACTCTCCGAATGGGATTCGGCATTGTCGTGGCAGGGGTGCTTAGTAGCCGTGTGAAAAGCGTTATGTTAAGCAGACCTTCCCAAAACTCATGAAGACCAGTGGACTTTTACGGGCTACTGATGTTGATGAAGAAGAAATAGAATTGGAATAAAACCAACAGAATTATTTCAACGCATTTAATTTCTAAGTAAACAGACAGGAAACTTAAAATGTAATAAAGATTAACAATTAAAACAAGAAAATTAATTATTTTAGAATATTAAAGTCCCTAAGTAGCGAGTGTACACAACAGGGCGGTGCCACGCTTCACCCAGAAGTCGGAGCTCTCTTTTCCAGACGCCAGTTCAACGGCCACCACGAATGCACCCTTACGCAGGGGGTAGTAGTAGCACGGACATACATAGCGATCTGAAGCAAGTTTTTAAATATATTTAACAATTCTACGTGATAGAGCCACACTGCAGTTGTATTATGGTAGTAGCATGAATGGGTCGACTCGACCGGGGAAGGACCACGCTCTCACAGAATACCAGCGCGAAATAGTAGCTCAATGCTGCTGTGTTTCGTACGGTGAGTTTAGACAACTGGCAATCGTTTTTTGTGGCAAAAAGGCATTCCATCTTAGTTCTTAAGGGTGACATCATATCTTCATTTTGTCTGAAGGTCAGATGTCTAAAGATCGCAACATCTGCTTACCATCAGATGGACCGTTGTTCGTTTGTCACTCTAAAAATATAGAAGTCAATGGGCTCCAATGTCCACTTATCAACAGGTGAACCGTTTGCTCTCCCTTTATAACTCTTAGTTAAATAAAGAATAAATATATACGTGGTTGAAAAGGGTCTACGCCCTTTAACAAGGCATTGCATCTTAGTCCTCAGACGTAACACATGTACATTTTGATTCTTACTCGAGGACAGAAGTGTATATGGGCCACAGCGTCCACTCACTATCAGGTGGACTGTGTGCTCTGAAAACTTTACAAAGCCGAAGCTAAGCAATTATATCTGTCTAAAGCTTGATTTGTAATATTTGCTGCCGAGTAAGGGAATTAAATATTTTTTCGTTTTTAAATCCTTATGGAAGTATCCATGTAGACACTACCTTCGCAGCAAACTCACATGAACGTTATAATTTTGTTGTTCTGGCAGTTGATACATTAAGGGCTATATTTCACCGGGACACCAAAAAGTCGCCGCTACCAACAAAATGTACACAGCTCTATAGAGAGTTAGTCACCTGGTGTCCGTATGTTTGCGCAACCAATTCGGCGGCGTGACCAGCTCGGACGCATGCACAGAATGTTACAGGTCGCGCCAGCACTAATTAATAATTACTATAGCGCTGTATGCTGTATGGTGTCTCACTCACTCACCTCACTCAGCCGCCTGCCCGGCCGCCAGTGACACCATAGATAATATACTATATAGGGCAAGTGACACCCCCACCTTACTGCACGTGTTGCATACACGTGCAGTGGGTTGTGTTTTGTTTTTTAATCGCTTATTTTAATTGTTTGTTAATTGTATACGATTCGAAATAATAATATAGAATGAAATAAAATTCAAATAGTACAGAAAGATTTATTATCGAAATTCAAAGTAGACCATCAATTAGCATCAAATTATAGGACAATAGCGCTATTATCATCACTTTCTAAGATACTAGAGAAGCTTGTAAATAGACGACTAACTAAGTACATAGAAAATAACAAACTTCTTGTTGATAATCAATATGGCTTTAGAGCAAATCGTTCAACCGAAGAGGCTGTTTTTAATTTGACCACTAAAATAACATTTGACACAGTATCTATTTCTGTCCTTATAACCCGTCTTCAGAATTTTGGCATTCGAGGAACAGTATTGGAGTGGTTTAAAGATTATCTTTCCAACAGAAACCAAAAAGTACGTATTGATGACTGCCTCAGTGAGACTGCTATCTGCTCCTATGGAATTCCGCAAGGCAGTACACTGGGACCAACCCTCTTTTTGGCTTATATTAACGACTTGTGTCACTTATATATACGTGCCGCAAACCTTTTCATGTTTGCAGACGATACAGTCTTACTCTTTCATGGTCCGAGTTGGGAATCTGTTAAAAAATCCTGAGGAAGGACTTTGTAAGGTTACTGGTTGGTTGGAAGATAGCCTTCTTACATTAAACACCACCAAAACAAAATTTCTATGTTTTTCAAAAACCACTGCTAGCAATCCACGAAACGAATTAAAAATAATAATTCACACGCATCCTTGTAATAGAAACTATAAAAGCTGACAAAATTAGATATCTCGGTATAATAGTTGATGATAAGCTTAATTGAGCTCCACATATTTCTTTTATTTCTAATATAATCAGAAAGTTTATTTATGTTTTTAAGAATTAAAAAACAGTTGCAAATAGAAAACTGTTACTACAAACGTACAAAGCGCTATGCCAGAGCGTTATCAGCTATTGCATATGTTCCTGGGGATGTGCTGCTAAAACACATCTTATAGAATTAGAGCGAGCCCAAAGGGCTGTACTAAAAGTAATACTTTCCCTTCCTTACAGATATTCGACAGAAATGGTATATAAGTTAACTGAAGTACTAAGTGTTCGAAAATTATTCATATATCAATGTCTTAGACGTTTTCATAGATGTAGTGTTCCGCTATTACAAAATTTAAAAAGAACTGTTCGTATAAATATCCCCAAGGTAAAATCCATATTCGGCAAAAGGAATTATAGTTACCTAGCTCCCAAGTTATATAATATATTAAATAAAACAGTGTGTACAAGAAAGTCTTCAAATCATTCATTTAAAAGTATGTTGTATAATTGGCTTAAAGAATATGACTACGATCAATGCGAAAACTTAATAGCTCCATACGAATAACTTTATGTGCAGTGCAACAATCACATTACTCACTCACTAACACACACACACACACACACACACACACACACACACACACACACACACACACACACACACACACGCAAGCACGCACGCACGCACGCACGCACGCACCCCCCCCCCCCCTACACACACACGTGTAAAGTTTTCTCATCTGGTTGGGCTGTTTAAATATATAATTGTAAACGAAATATATAAACATACATAAAAAATACATAAATATATAAAAAACCTAACCAGATCGAAGCCCTCGGCAGGGGAGACCAAACGGCCGAGGGTTAGGGGGAAATGGAAAGAAACCGGCGGACGATGCGGGCGGTATCGAGGAGCACCGCCTTCTGCATTTGAGCTTGGACCGGTCCGTCACGGAGTTCCAGTCGCCTCAAATGACCCGAGAGGCTAACTGGGATTAACCCGTTCGCAGAAACGACCACAGGAATAATTTCGGCCGGCAGACCACCCCACATGTCGGTCACCTCGTGAGCCAGGTCCAGATATTTTGTCAGGTTATCTGTTTCGGCTTTCACGAGGTTCTCGTCATAAGGAATGGTAATGTCGACCAAAAATATCTTTGACTGTGCCCGGTCCATTAGCACAATATCAGGCTTATTCGCAAGAATAGTCCTATCTGTGATGATGGCCCGGTCCCAGTAGAGCCTGGCGCGGTCATTTTCGAGCACGGCTTCCGGCAAGTACTTATAATATGGCAGTTTCCGATCCACGACACCGTATTTCAGAGCGAGCTCCTGGTGTAGAATCCTGGCTACTAGGTTGTGTCTATGCAAATACTCAGAGTTAGAAAGCGCCGAACAACCGGAGATGATATGCGTAAGTGACTCACCGGGATGGCGACAAGCTCGACAGACGTCGACGGTGCCATCCTTTAGGATGTATCTCCGATAATTGTTGGTCTTAATAACCTGATCCTGTATTGCACAGACAAAACCCTCAGTTTCCCCAAAGAGGTCACTGAAACGTAGCCAGTGGAGGGAGGCGACTGTGTCTACGAAAGGCTCATGAAGGGCCTTGTAGAACCTCCGTGGAGCTCCTTCTCCTTCCATACGGTCTCCAGGTCGGAAATGCTCTGTACTGCCGGGTCTTGCCATTGCTCGTTGGCTAAGGATAGAGGGGTTAGCTCTTTATCACAAGAAATAACGTCCCTATAGTATGGATCATCCGCTCTCGTCAGAAAGTAATTACGGAGGCTGCACACTTCGCGATTATGCATGATAAGCGCGCTTAAAAAGCCGCGCCCACCATGCTTCCGCGGCAAGTACAGCCTCATTACTGACGATTTATTATTATTATTATTATTAATTTGGGATAATTCCTCATCAGATTATTCCGATAGAGATTTGAAAAAGAAATGTTTGGAGGAAGTTGTAGATTTGTTTGGAGAACAGGAGAAAACCGTTGAACAAAAAAAGAGCTTAGGTAAATAAACAACATATATTTTTATTAATGAATTATTATCAATAAATGTTCATGATGAACATGACCTGGTGAAACATGGACAGCCAAAAGCCCGTTGTGAGTGAATTTGTATATGTATTTATTAATGAATATAATTATTTTGCCATGGAAGTGGGTTTTCGTTTACAAAATAACGTGTAAAATTATCTCGAGTTGTAGTAGCAGCAGGCCCTCTAGTGAAATTTTGCTGTATTGTAGTTTAAAATCCCGTTATTGTCAGAATATCATCATATGAATATCCATCTCTAGAACGTACAAAATTGTGTAACACATATGTTCTTACAATGGATTTTGCTAATTCTGTCTGGCCATTTAATGGTCAGTGGAAAATTCTCCATTTATTTGTTAAGATGCCGAATGTGCATTCGATGTAACGGCGAGCTCTCGATAGTCTGTAGTTAAAGATTTTCTTTTCGGCACTGAGGTTGTTTCCTCCGTATGGACGCATAATATTTGTCCTCAACCCGAATGCTTCATCTATAAATACTTAAGGGAAAAGCGTTGGGTTATTTTCTGAAATTTGGAGGGGCTCCGTAAAATCTAAAATATTATTTATAGAGTTTCCTACACAATTCAGTTTCTTGAAAAATTGCTGAATCGCTACTTTTCCCAGAGGCACCGACGTTTATATAAATGAAGTTATGCAGCCAACAATGAAAAAAAGTGTTTATAGTTATAATACATCGAACCAAAATCAGCAGGTTGAATCAGTCTAATGTGCTTTCCATCGATACTGCTGATGCAGTGTGGAAAGTTGGCATGTGAGTCATGAGAACTATCATCCTGGTTATTCGACGCAACGGCAAGTGATTGCTACTGAATATCCTGGACCGAGTTATAGAATAAAGACGAATTATCAGAATGAAACTATTACAAATAGTGCTGTTTCTCCAAATAATTCTATGAATACAATGACATATGCAAGTTCTCCAAGCGACACACATGATTCACAGGACTGATGGATATGTATAGCACTTAAATGTTTATGGCTTGTTTGTTTGACTACATTTTTTTAATAAACCTTACTTGTAAATGTTCATAGTTTGTTTTAACTTAAGTACTTTAATGTTACAAACAAATTTTCTTCAGGATTGACTGATTTTCTTAATATTGTGTCTTGTTTCAAAAAATAATTTTCACACAAAGCTTGGCGTGCTCAGCAGAGCGCGATAGTATTTCATGCCGGCACATCAATTGCAACTTTACAAAGCGCAAGTTCGTCCCCACATGGAATACTGTTCTCATCTCTGGGCCGGGGCACTCCAGTGCTAGCTCCTTCCACTTGACCGCATCCAGCGCAGAGCGGTTCAAATCGTCGACGACCGAGTTCTCTCTGATTGGCTCGATACACTGGCATTGCGTAGAGATGTTGCATCTCTTTGCGTATTTTATAGCATCTATCACGGGGAGTGCTCTGAGGAATTGTTCGGTCTAATTCCAGCCGCTTAATTTCACCATCGCACATCGCGACAAAACTCGCGTTACCATCCATACCATCTGGATGATTGGCGGTCCACCACTGTGCGATTTAGAAGAAGTTTTCTCCCTGGCACAACTTCCTTGTGCCAGGAATTTTGCCGGACCGATACGACTTAGCGACCTTCAAGAAAAGAGCCTACTCGTTTTTTAAAGGCCGGCATCGCATCTGCAATTCATCTGGTGTTGCGGTTGTTCATGGGCGGCGGTAGTCACTTACCATCAGGTGAGCCGCGTGCTCGTTTGCCCCCTCTTCTATAAAAAAAAAGCACAAAGTCAGTAACTCATCAAAGAACCTCACGGATATGCTCACATAGCTAAAAACTAATCCGTAGGCGTATTAAGTATCTTGCAGAAGGCTAGCGATAGCGAAATTAGTACAATAATTGCTGATAAATCGCAGATTCGTATTATGTGTCAACGATAACCAAGCTAACTAGCGACAGCGCTGCCTTGTGGTTGCTAGTTAGCTAGGGCTTGGTTATCGCTGGTACATAATACGAATCTGCGATTTATCAGCAATTATTGTTCTAATATCGCTATCGCTAGCCTTCTGCAAGATATGTTATACGCCTACGGGATATCTTCTTAGATCGTCGGATATGTTGACGAATTGTCCTTTTTTACTGCGATCGGCTAAATAAGGATGAACCCACCACTGTTTCTATTTCTCTTGAACTCTCTTTTCCTACGTACATACAGCAGTAGTGCTATCTCTTCGAAGCCCATTTTGATACTGTCTCAGTGTGGTGTGGCGACTCTGGTGTCTGTATGGTGTTTAGTTTGGTAGCTTACGGACATCCTGGTGGCGGTATCAACTGTCATGTTTGTATACTTTTGGCAGTGGCAATCTATCTGTGTTTACTTGTGTGCTTTAATTTAATGCGTCTCTGAACCGCAACAAAAACAACCCACATGCTCCGAACAACCTTACTAACCTTTCTACTTCAAACGAAACATTCCATCTTAGTCCTCAGGGGTGACAACGCATCTGCATTTTGATTCTAAATCGAAGATAAATGTAGATGTCAATGGGCCACAGCATGAGGTGGACTGTATGCTCGTTTGTCACCCTTATTCTACTTATAAAAAACCGGCCAAGTGCGAGTCGGACTCGCTCATGAAGAGTTCCGTACCATCACACACGTTTTTAGTAGGAAAGCCGCGTTTAATATTTAATTTATTTTTATTATTTGTTGTTATAGCAGCAACATAAATACACAATCTGTGAAAATTTCAACTGTCTATGTATTACGGATTATGAAATACAGCTTGCTGACAGACGGACAGACGGACGGACAGACAGCAGAGGCTTAGTAATAGGGTCCCGTTGGTTACCTTTTGGGTACGGAACCCTAAAAAAAACTTATTAAGTTATGGAAATATCGATGGAGCATTGACTGCAAAACTACGATAAGCTATCAGACTTGTATTTGTATACAAAGTCTAAATGATAAATAAATATATGTTTCTAAGAAAAAAATAAACTCGTGAAATGAAAATAATCGATGGAGAACTTTGTACATACTTCGCGGCCTTCGCCCAGTTGCTCGTACGGGCTTGAAGTGTATGGGCGCCATCGGGAATACCAGCTGCATGGGCAATGGGTCCTGGAGGTATCCGTCCTTCTTCATCCAACTCGCACCCTCCAGGAACAAGCCCCTGGGTAATAAAGAAACACTCAAATAATATTTTCGTAGTGTTTATTAAAATGTGTTTTATATTTTATTTATGAAATTGAAGCATCAAACGACCTCAGTCCATATTATGATTGTGTTTGGCTACTGTAGCCGATGAACACCTGCAACAAACTTTAAACTAAGAGGGCTACAGATTTGTCTCACAATCTGTTTATTATATTGGCTCTTTTTTATATGAGGAAATGTATGCGCATACCCGTCTCGCATGAGCAAGGACGAGTTATATATATTTATTTTATTTATTTATTTATTTAAAATTTCATGCACAAAGTTGTACATATAACGGACTTAATGCCATAGGGCATTCGCTCCCAGTCAACCTCACCCTGTACTAACATGGCTCTCTCACAGACAACATAAAGTATAACAAACACCGATTATAAACTAATTTTTAACTTTACTATCGGTTCGATAAAATCTGCGTCCTGAAAAGTAGCCGTTAGTTAAATCGAAGTCAAGTCGTAGGCTGCCGTAAGCTGATGGCAATAAATATAATGGCATCAAAAACATAACATGTAAAAAAAAAACCAAGTCTCGCAACTCAGTTCTTCTACCATAAAAATTTGTGAGATCCATGTAATACCAAATCGGTTAATTTATTCAGTCCCTACTTAAGGGTGAGTGACAAAATTAAGAAACTTTGACTAGTTATAATTCTTAAACTACTGGTTCAAATTGAATGATATTTCAAATATTCGGAGTTTATTAAAATTCAGGCGTCTAGTTTTATCCACAACGAAGTTAATAGGGGTTCGAAAATGGCGTGAACTACTTCGAGAAAAGGATGGTACGACTGCACTGCCGTGCCCCCAGATATTATCAATTTTAAGGTTAGAAAAATTTACTTTGCCCGTATCCGCTCAATAAAATAAAACGATGTGTCTTACCTAGTCTGAAGAGCACTACCCGCCCTTCCCGTCTAATTGCAGTACCACTACTCCCATCACCACTACTCTAGGAAAGACATCACCGACAGTAATATGAGACGTGTTTAAGTAAGGACACATAATTTTATTTTATGGAGCGGATATGGGCAAAGTAAATTTTTCTAACTTTAATATAATGGATTTCCGCAAAGCAACGCCTGATTCTATTAATTATATAATAATTTTTATTCAATATAGATTACAAAAATACTTATTAAAAGTCATTTAATCTTTACCATTGGTTCGGAAATCCCTCTGTCCTCAGAAGAACCAGCAAGAAACCCAGAGGGCGTTTAAAAAAATGATTTACAAATTAATATATTATACATTTAGTATGAAAACATTTAGAAACAGTAAGATGATTGATGTTGAAGTGCATCACATACCTGATATAGACTCCACCATCCCTCGGCGGTCTCACAATGGCAGACTCCTCGAGAGTCATCACGGTGAACTCCCAGCACAGCGTGTCAATAGGCCAGCCCTCACCGCGGGCGGTTGTCTACGTAATAACAACAGTTCTTTACATATTTAATCCTTATTCATACTAATATTATACGTTATGTAAAAAAAAACCCTGTCCGATCCGTGCTTTTAGGTAAAATGATATGATTCTTTTCATGTAACCCTTTTCAGAGGAAAAATAATAAATGGGGAAACTTACAGGTACGTTCATAAGATAACGTCGCTGACGGTGTTGTTGTCAAATTATTTAAATTTGCTGAATTTAAATAAATTGTAGTAAAAAAACATGTATTGTAACAAACATATATCATTACTAGGTGGTACGACTCTTCTTTCGCCTAAAGTTCGTTTGGGTGGTGGGGTTGCGAGTATATAAACATCAGTTTTAGTGCGTGGAAGGGAACAGCGGGACTTACCTATTTATGCAAACAAATAGCAGTGCAAACTATGTGTATTCCGGTTTCAAGGTTATAGTTGGCCAGTATAATTAGCCCTTTTTTTAATTTGAAGTTGATTGCCGGTACCAATGGGTTGCAATAGTTATTTACCATCAGATGGACTGAGAGTCCGTTTTAGAAATTATATTATGTATAGTAAATAACAATAAAAATTTTTATTTATTAATTACATGATGCCATTCCCTTCTGAGCCGCGTCTACATGCTGTTTTCGAGAGTCATTACGGATCGTCTCGCGCGCATACTTGACGACTTCCAGCCTCCCGAACAAGCCGGTTTCCGAAAGGGCTTTAGCACCATAGACCACATACATACCCTTCGGCAATTTGTACAGAAGTCCGAAGAGTACAATTTGCCACTATGTCTGGCGTATGTGGACTATGAGAAAGCCTTTGATTCCGTCGAAATTTGGGCGGTACTGCAGTCCCTTCAGCGGTGCCAAGTTGACTGTCGGTATATCGAAGTGTTGAAGTGTTTATACAGTAGAGCTACGATAGCTATCCGAGTACAGAACCAGAGTACGAAACCTATACAATTGCAGAGAGGTGTAAGACAGGGTGACGTCATATCCCCGAAACTCTTCACCGCTGCATGGGAAGACGTTTTCAAGCTTCTCGACTGGAAAGGATACGGTATCAACATCAATGGCGAGTACATCACTCACCTTCAATTTGCCGACGATATAGTCCTTATGGCAGAATCGCTGGAGGACCTAAGCACTATGCTCAATGACCTCAATAGTGTCTCCCAACGGATAGGACTTAAGATGAACATGGACAAAACAAAGATTATGTTTAATGTCCATGTCACACCTATGCCGGTAGGTTTTGGGAGCACTAAGCTCGAAGTTGTTGACGAGTATGTTTACCTGGGACAAATAGTCCGACTAGGTAAGTCCAACTTCGACCGAGAGGTCAATCGACGGATTCAACTCGGCTGGGCAGCGTTCGGGAAGTTACGACACATTTTCTCGTCAGACATACCTCAAAACCTTAAAACGAAATTGTACAACCAGTGCGTGATGCCAGTGATGATTTACGGAACTGTGACGTGGTCCTTCACAGCTGGCCGTATGAGGAAACTCAAGGTCGCTCAGCGAGCTATGGAGAGGGCTATGCTCGGAGTTTCTCTGCGTGATAAACTTAGAAATGAGGATATCCGCAGTAGAACTAGAGTAACCGTCATAGCCCAACGGATTAGTAAGCTGAAGTGGCAGTGGGCCGGCCATATAGCTCGAAGAACCGACAACCGATGGGGAAGAAAGGTTCTTCGAGTGGCAGCCTCGTACCGGTAGGCGAAGTGTAGGGCGACCCCCCACGAGATGGAGGTACGACCTGGTAAGGCATGCAGGAAGTCGATGGATGCAGGTGGCTCAGGACCGTGCTTTGTGGCATTCCTTGGGGGAGGCCTATGTTCAGCAGTGGACTTATGAAAGGCTGTAATGATGATGATAATGATGATGATGCCATATTTTAGTGCTGTCATTGCGGTAACTATATACCCTTTCGGATGTGTGTGGTGGTGCATTGGTGGTGTGGTGGTGCGGTGGTGACGGTGAGCGGTGTGCGGTACCTGCATGACGGCGTTGAGGAAGCCGGTGGGCGCGAGCAACGCGGGCAGCCAGCAGAGCGCGGGCGTGTCGCGGGGAGCCGCCGTGTGGTGGTGCAGTGGTAGTGTGGTAGTGCGGTGGTGACGGTGAGCGGTGTGCGGTACCTGCATGAGGGTGTTTTGTGGAAGCCGGTGGGCGCGAGCAACGCGGGCTGCCAGCAGAGCGCTGCGTGGCGCGGGGAGCCTCCGTATGGTGGTGGGGTGGTGACGGTGAGCGGTGTGCGGTACCTGCATGACGGCGTTTTGTGGAAGCCGGTGGGCGCGAGCAACGCGGGCAGCCAGCAGAGCGCGGGCGTGGCGCGGGGAGCCGCCGTGTGGTGGTGCAGTGGTGGTATGGTAGTGCGGTGGTGACGGTGAGCGGTGTGCAGTACCTGCAGGACGGCGGTGAGGAAGCTGGTGGGCGCGAGCAGCGCCGGCAGCCAGCAGTGCGCGGGCGGGGCGCGGTGAGCCGCCGTGTGGTGGTGCAGTGGTGGTGTGGTGGTGCGGTGGTGACGGTGAGCGGTGTGCGGTACCTGCATGACGGTGGTGAGGCGCCGGCAGCCAGCAGAGCGCGGGCGGGGCGCGGGGAGCCGCCGTGTGGTGGTGCAGTGGTAGTGTGGTAGTGCGGTGGTGACAGTGAGCGGTGTGCGGTACCTGCATGACGGCGGTGAGGAAGCCGGTGGGCGCGAGCAGCGCCGGCAGCCAGCAGAGCACGGGCGGGGCGCGGGGAGCCGCCGTGTGGTGGTGCAGTAGTGGTGTGGTGGTGCGGTGGTGACGGTGAGCGGTGTGCGGTACCTGCATGACGGCGGTGAGGAAGCCGGTGGGCGCGAGCAGCGCCGGCAGCCAGCAGAGCGCGGGCGGGGCGCGGGGAGCCGCCGTGTGGTGGTGCAGTGGTGGTGTGGTGGTGCGGTGGTGACGGTGAGCGGTGTGCGGTACCTGCATGACGGCGGTGAGGAAGCCGGTGGGCGCGAGCAGCGCCGGCAGCCAGCAGAGCGCGGGCGGGGCGCGGGGAGCCGCCGTGTGGTGGTGCAGTGGTGGTGTGGTGGTGCGGTGGTGACGGTGAGCGGTGTGCGGTACCTGCATGACGGCGGTGAGGAAGCCGGTGGGCGCGAGCAGCGCCGGCAGCCAGCAGAGCGCGGGCGGGGCGCGGGGAGCCGCCGTGTGGTGGTGCAGTGGTGGTGTGGTGGTGCGGTGGTGACGGTGAGCGGTGTGCGGTACCTGCATGACGGCGGTGAGGAAGCCGGTGGGCGCGAGCAGCGCCGGCAGCCAGCAGAGCGCGGGCGGGGCGCGGGGAGCCGCCGTGTGGTGGTGCAGTGGTGGTGTGGTGGTGCGGTGGTGACGGTGAGCGGTGTGCGGTACCTGCATGACGGCGGTGAGGAAGCCGGTGGGCGCGAGCAGCGCCGGCAGCCAGCAGAGCGCGGGCGGGGCGCGGGGAGCCGCCGTGTGGTGGTGCAGTGGTGGTGTGGTGGTGCGGTGGTGACGGTGAGCGGTGTGCGGTACCTGCATGACGGCGGTGAGGAAGCCGGTGGGCGCGAGCAGCGCCGGCAGCCAGCAGAGCGCGGGCGGGGCGCGGGGAGCCGCCGCCCACGCGCCCAGCGCCGCGCCACGCGCCCACACCTCGCGACACCACGCGCCCAACGCCTTCAGCGTAGGCCGCCCTGTAAACACCCACTCTCACACTGACTGGGTTCCCTTAAGTGACCGCTAAACTACACACTTCTTTACTGACCCTTAGGTTGTTCCCTAAAGTAAGAGCCGTAAAGACACGTTTCTTCGAAAATCAAACATGAATATCGTTGTTTAGCGTAAACGAATAGCGTTTTGAAGAAAGATTAATTTAAAAAGAACAGAAATATAAAGAGGATCAATCAATCAAAAAATCAAGTTATATCATCAAGTTTTGTTATTAGCGTGGTTTTAAGTTGTAATTAGTGTTCTGTACTTAAATTGTCAATTTTAGTAATTCACTCGGCAGTTTTTAATTGTCTCGAACCCCAAGCTAGTAACAACAATTGGTGCCAGAAGTGGAATCAAATCATGCTGATTTTACCTAAGGACGACACGAAAAGTATCCGTACCCGAAGTCAACGCTAGCGTGAGACGGACCAGAAACGATTTGGTGGTGCAACGCCGCAGACGTCGTAGGGTCAGCTGCCGACCACGGAGGCCGGCCCCTCAGCAGCTCCAGCATCTACAGAACCTGACTTAGGCGATCTGATGATGATGCTGTAGGAACAAGCTTGCCGACAGGAGGAACAGGCCCGCAGACAGGAGGAACATGGCAACCGACAGGAGAAATAGACCCGCCGACAGGAGGAACAGGCCCGTTGGAAATTCGGTTGGAAGAGTTGCTCAAACGCGATAAGGAAGAGTAGATGCTCCTCATGAAGGAACTTCACGCTACCTTCGGGAAAGAGATAAGGGAGGTGAAGGATAGGGTTGCTGAACATGACAACCGCCTGTCGGAAGCTGAAACCCAAATCGACCAAGTGAACAATCGGGTTGAGAACGTGTTGACTGACGTGAAGAAAACGACCTGAATCTGAACGACGGATGACCTCTAATTTGGAGATCATACAGCTCCTGTGGTACCTACAACACCTTCGCACCATGGATTCAAAGTGCCGCCGTTTGACGGGACTTCTTCCTGGTCAGCTTACAAAATTCAGTTTTTTTTTTTCATTTATTTATAATATTTTAATAAGTACAAGGGTTACATCTATTGAACTTGCAAAAACCGTGAGGTTTGTCCGCAAGTTACAGTCTCACATATAATACAAGGTAATAAATAATACAATCATCCGATCTATGGCTGCTTACAAACATTGACAATAATATTAAATAGGTACATGTTTAATTGTATACATGTTTTAACTCATGAATTACGACCCAACGTTAATTGCAAATCACCGCGCTGACCGGGCCGTATTACCTGAGAACCGGTTTCGATGAGCCCACGAGTGTGTGCGAGACAATTAGATCGTTCTTAGAGGGCGCTCGGATTATTTAGCAGAAGCTGTATACAGATTGCTGCAAAATGTGTGAGTTGATATGATTTTTTTTATTTATTATTATTTACGACGACGAGGTCCGCCACCCGTCACGTCCTGTCTCCCGGGTGGGCGAAAAGTGGATTGCAGAGGCCCGTCTGGCTACGCTGAATGTATGTGGAGCAATAAATGATAAGATGGATGAAGTATGCGAAATGATGAACGATGGAGGAATAGATGTGTTATGTGTGAACGAAACGAAACGAAAGGGAAGAGATGTCACTTCACATGGCATGTATACCGCTTACTGGTCTGGAGTAGACGAGACCGAGAGGGCATGCCAGGGAGTCGGTGTCATCCTTTCAGAAAGAATGGGTCAATGTGTGAAAGAGTATGAATGTGTTAGCCCAAGGCTGCTATGGATACGAATGAAAGTGGGCTTAAAGAAGTTGTTTGTGCTAGGGGTGTACGCCCCAGATATGTCCTAAGCCCACTTATATCCGAGAGCAGTTTTGGGACATGGTAAGGCTGGTGTTGATGAAATGTAAGGAAAATGAAAATATTATTATGTTAGGAGATTTTAATGGAAGGGTTGGGGTGAAGAGGTCTGGTTATGAAAGGATATTAGGAACGTTTGGCGATGAAAGAATAAATGAGAATGGTGAAGACCTCCTCACCGTATGTGTGGAAAAGAATTTTTTTGTGGCGAATACTTTCTTTCGCCATAAGAGGATTCACATGTATACATGGGAAAGAGGGGATGATAGAAGCATGATAGATTTTATAATTGTGGATGAAAGAATGAGGAGCGCAGTGGTAGATACAAGGGTTTACCGGGGGTCCAACGTAGGGACGGATCATTACTTGATTTTATGCCGAATTAATGGTCTATTCAGACGTTGGCGGCATCGGACATCTGTGTCTACCACTGCGTTACAGCGTATAAGAATAGAGAGGTTACAAGATGAAGGTGTGAAAGAGAAGTATAAATGCAGACTGATTGAAAATATAAGTGGGTTGAATGAATTATGTATGAATGATTTAGAATTGAAGAATGTATGGAATAATATTAAGAAAGTTTTGGTGGATGCAGCCACCGAAATATGTGGTGTAAATAAGAGAACGAATGAAAGGAAAAGTAATACGTTGTGGTGGGATGATGAGGTACGGATGGAAGTTGAAGCAAAGAAGAGAGCATGGCTAGATTTACTAGCAACTAAAGCTGGTAATTCTGGCGGTATGAATGATGAGATTGAAAGAAAAAACGCAGACTTTAGACGTATAAATAAGAGAGTAAAAGAAGTTGTTGAAAGGAAATAGCAAGAAAGGATAGATAAAAATGATAGAAGGATATCTGATAACTTCCAGGAAAATATTAAAATGTTCTGGAAGCTCGTAAGAACTGCCAGGGCAAATTCAAAACAGCCTAGAATGAATGCTATACGAGACGAGAATAGCTGCATGTTGAATGATGAAGTTTCGAATTTAAAGAGATGGAAGGAATACTTTGAAAGCGTGTTTAAGAGTGAAGAGTCGTCTGAAATAAGTGAAATAGAAATTCCGGAAGACGTGGAGAGAGGTAGGGAGATAAGTATAGATGAAATAATGAAAGCAATGAAAAGCATGAAAGCAGGTAAGGTAGCCGGATATGATAGAGTATCCCTCTAAATGCTAAGGGCTGGTGAGGGTGTGGTTGCAGGCCTGCTGTACACCTTGTTTAATTTATGTTGGGAACTGAAGCGGGTACCGGAAGACTGGTGCAAAGCCGTTATAGTCCCAATATATAAGGGAAGGGGGTCGCAGCGGGACTGTAAAAACTACCGTGGTATCCAGCTTGCTTAGCATTGTGGGTAAACTGTATGCTAAGGTGTTAATTGAAAGAGTTATGGAAGAAACTGATAGAAAAATTTGGGATGTGCAAGCTGGGTTTAGAAAGGGGATGGGATGTACGGATCAAGTCTTTTCCATGCGCATGATAGCGGAGAAGTTTTTGGCCAAAAACCAGAAAGTTTTTTGTGCGTTCATGGACTTGGAAAAGCCTTATGACAGAGTGGACAGGGATGTGTTATGGCAAACACTGAACTCATTTGGGTTGAGCGCTGGCTTGATACAGGCATTAAGGTCTCTTTATAGGGACTCTAGTGCTTGTGTCAGGATCAACGGGGTCTACTCGGACTGGTTTGGCATTCATAAAGGTGTCAGACAGGGATACGTGGCTTCCCCGTGGCTGTTTAACCTATTTATGGACAGTTGTTTGCAAACTTTGAAAGTTGAAGAATGTGAGTTGAGAATGGGTGAGTCAACCGTCAAATGCCTTTTGTACGCCGATGATCAAGTCATATTTGCATCGTCGGCGGCAGAGTTGCAAATGATGGTTACTTTAATGAATTGGTCATTGAAAGAAAGGGGTATGAAAGTGAACGCAAGTAAGACGAAAGTGATGGTTTTTGAAAGAGAAGAAAGTAAAACTTTATGTGAAATAAGAATAGAAGGGGAGTTGATTGAGAAAGTGCATGAGTTTGTATATTTGGGATGTTTATTTAGCAGGAATGGTAGATATGATAAGGATATAGAACGACGAGCGAACGCAGGAAATAGAGTGAATGGGGCTCTACACGCTATTATGAGGAGTCAAAATGTGTCAACTAAGGCACGTATGGCAAGTCATAATACTGTGTATTTGTACACCACACTGTGGTAGAATACACGATACCTAATGTAAATTTTACGAACACCTAACTTACTGTATTCACAAATAAATAAATGAATTTGAATTTGAATGAATTTGAATTTGTGTTAGTCCCTACTTTAATGTATGGTAGTGAAAGTTGGGTCTGGCAGAAGAAGCATGAGAGTAGAATAAATGCTGTAGAAATGCGTTCCTTAAGGAGTATGCTAGGGCTGAATCTGAATGACAGGGTGAGAAATAGTGTGATAAGAGAAAAGTGTGGTTTGCAAGATCACGTTGTGACAAGGATTAAGATAGGAATGCTTCGGTGGTTGGGTCATGTAGAAAGAATGAACGAGGAAAGAGTGACAAAGCAAATTTATGTTGCAGAAGTGAACGGCAGGGTCGGGAAGGGACGCCCTAGACGAAGGTTTATCGACCAAATCGGCGACACATTAAAAATGGGCCAGATTAGGAGTACCCTTAACCGACGAGCGTGTATGCGTAGATATATGGATGTAAAAGAGGCGAGAGAGGTGTGTCAGGATCGCGCCAAATGGAAGTCCGTAGTCTCTGCCTACCCCTCTGGGTGACAGGCGTGAGTGTTTATGTATGTATGTATTTAAACTTTTTCATTGTTTATTTATTCATATTTTAGCATTTACATAGTAATATAATTCAATCACCAAAATATAAACAAATAAACATGTTTATTATTTAAATATATAAGAAAGATATGTGCATATACACCTGTGCATATGTACATATGTGCCTATTATATGGTATATGTAATATGTAAATTATATGTATAATATTTCATTTATGTAATCTACTCCCGTTGTAGCTGTTCATAGAAATATTTTTTGAATTTGTTTTTGTAGTTATCCTCATTGAAATCTGAGAGTATTGTAGGGGGGATTTGGTTTATTAAAGTAGGAATTAAATATCTATTTGTACGTTTTCCATAGTAGTTATGTATTTTGGATGTTACGAGTTTATT